AATCTCCATAATTGTTTTTTTGTAGAAGTCGCTTTCTGTTCTTTGTAAACTATTCCCAGTGCTTATTTTTTGTTCTTGTTATCAACTGCTTTCGTATTCTTCTATAGGTGTCTCGGGATCCTGGAATATTGGATGTTTTCTACTTCGTATAGGCCTCTCATATGTCTCTTTACTTTTCTTTTTTATTTCTTTTCGGAACCATGATGTATTGTTGTTGTTTCTTTTGTTCAGTATGGTTTTGCGTTTTCCTAGAATTTCTATTGCTGCTTCATTAATATTGTTTTTAATTTTCTCCCAGCTCGCATTTATATCTTCGATATCGTCTATTTGTTTAAGCTGCATCTTCTGTGCTAACCTCCTTTGGTACATTTCTTTAGTCGGTGATTTCCTGTAGAAAATGTTTTGGTGTCATTTTAATTCTTAGTTTTGCTAGTACTAGTTTTTGTTCACTCTCTGTATCTGTTGGGTTTAAATTTTGGATATCTAGAACCTGCTTTGGGTGAATTTTTCTATTAGTGCCTATAAAATTAATCATAGATTTGTTCCCCCTGGAGTTTTCAAATGTATATTTTTACTGGAGCTTATGGTCGAAAAATGTATTATTGATTTGTTTTATGTTGTTTTACTTCTGGAACTATTTCATTTCCGATTCGTGTAATAAAGTAACCCTATGTCTCTCATATTATCTTTAAGCGAAAAAACTGAGAATAATGATCCGAAGTAGTAATCCTTGCCCACAACCCATAATCAAAATGTACATAGGTGCTCACGCCTTAAAATTCAATTAAAACCGTTTTCCATGGTACGCAAATTGTATAATTATTATTTTGTATACAGTTATAGTACGGTTATTGGTAGCAATATCAAAACTTTTGTTATAAAATCTAGGTCATGCGGAATCTGCTTAAATAAAAAGAATCTGGATTTAAACGTATCTACCATGATATGAATATCATGGTATCTACTGCTTGCTCCCAGCCCCATTACAAAACTAAAAATGACATGCATACCTTTATAAAAAAATTGTACACTACTTGCTGTAACCTTTGCCTTTAGGTTCGACAACTCCACTTTCAAGATTGTGCTAAGTGTGTTGCCCACTATCGACTGCGTTAAATCTAATTTATCAGCGCCTTCAAGTTTTAAAGGGACAATAATAATTATAGTTGAACAATTTACTTTCGAGGTATTTCCGATATCCATTTTGGTATTTATTCATTAACGTTTAATAAAATGACAATGTAGGTATAACATAACAACTTTAAATTTGTTAAATGATCGGTATATAGCATCTACTAATTCTTAAATTTATATTTTAGTTTGTGTAAATTGCTTAAAATACATTTTTAATTTAGACCCGTATTATTCACGAAACCATTTTTAAGAAACATTGGAAGTTTTATTAAAATTGAATTCAGAAAAAACATGAGAATGTCAAAAGTTAATCTGAGTTATTTTTATGTGATATAAAATACGTTATAGTAATGTCGTAAAATATAGGTACATATTGTACTGACATCTACGTTTAAATGATTTGCTATTTATAACTGACACGTGCAAGAGATATTTTCATTTTGTGAAACATTCTTGTGAAAATTCTTTGTGAAAGTTTATCAACAAACGTAGTTAAATATAATTTGATAGACTTACTACCTACTCATTACACTTAAAATGTTTTACACCTACATAGACAATGTTCTTACACTTACATAAAACATGTTTGCTTTTTTTGCCCTTCTTTTTTTTTAACTTTCTACTTTCCCGAGGTGGTGGAGGAGAAACAATACAATTGCTGGCCATTACCCTTAACGACACCCCTGCATGTTAAAAATAAATAAAATTGCATGTAACACGAATAATTACCTTAGAGCGTATTGTGAGTTGCATACTTCAACTCACGTTATTTAAATTCTAGAACAATCAATAAAATTAAATTAGAAGAAAGGATTGGTATTAGAAAAATAAATTTTATTCCTTTGGGTAAATTTCTGTAAATTTTGCAAAATAATTAATATTGATAGAGATAAAAAATATTAGTGCTCAATTTCTCTTGTAGGTACATATTATATTGCCTCCACTAACAAATTATTTTTTCTTTCATGCTGTGAATAATAAACATATATCTAAAATTAACACCAAATAGCCCAATAGTTCCTAATCCAACGAGAATTCTTAAAGCTTTTGAAGTAGATGTGGGTGGAAACAGATAAATTATATGTTTACCAACTCATCGAATTTAAGAAAATAAGTTGGTATATAATAGTTATGTTTAAAATATGTCAATGTTAAAGATTAACAAGCAAACTAGGCCAAAGTATTAACATGGTGTATAAAAGAAGGAGTGTGTTATTTGTGCAGACTTGATTCTGCGATTAGGTACACAGATAAAGATTCAAATGAGTGCTATATTCTTTATCACAAAACATTCAGCAATATACAGGATATTATACAATAAATTAAAAAATAGCAAAGGTAACAAGGTCTACTTAATTTTTCGAAATGTTGTTTTAAATTGGCTTGCAATAATGAAAATAGAAGAAATAGATATAACTACTTTAGAAAGTTACAAAAAATCAAGACTTTCTAATTTCAATTATATTTAAATTTCTAAATCTTTATCTGTGTCTGTTCTTTCGTAAGTATCCATGTGAGCATATTTTTTTGAATACCTTTATTTACACTTAAAAATAAATAAAAACCAAATAAATACGATTTGGCACCATAAAAAACAGGCTATTATGATCAACAATAAGGTAATCTAGGGAGTGATGGAATTTGTATATTTGGACAAAATAATTTACTTGGAGGGTGGTACTAAGCGTGATGTGTAGGTAAAAATGCAGAAAAAAGGCTCGTGATTTGTACAATATGCTTAATAACATATGGAAATCCAAGATTTACCCTACCTAAACGAAATTAAAAAAAACCTTTAACAGAAATGTAAAACAGGTATGACCATATTGCTGTAAGACGTGGAAGATATCAGTTTTCATAGTCCACCAATTATATGTTTCCATTAACAAAGATGAAAAATGCAGATGATCGGGCCACACACTCCGTATACACCCAGAGTATATTGCCAGGACTGCGCTGGATTGCAATCGTTAAGAACTACGGAAAGTAGGCAGATCTAGGGAAACTTAGAAAAGAGCCGTACTGGACTAAGGAAATATCCTGGCTCAAAATCAAAGCACTTGCGAGATTTCGCTGGAGACAGTGGAATCAGGATATAATATATATTATATATATAGATCGTGCGAAGAAAAAAATCAGCCGTACACAGTTTGGTTTTCGGAATGCAGTCGATACGAGAAGTGATGTTTCTAAGATGGAGAGACGTAAATCGCTATATTTATGAATGATTGATTGATTACCATAAAGCGTTCGATACAGTAAAGCATGACAAACTGACAGAGATATTAACAAATATTGGAACAAACACCTGTGATATAAAAATTATATTCACTGCAATTAAACATAATTTATCTTTACAGAGGCAGGAGAATCCGATAATATTAAAATCAAACTTGGGGTCCGACAGGACTGTATACTATCAACCCTGCTGTTCAACATATACTCCGAGGAAATAATTCAAAAAGCACCTGTGAATGTTTCCTCCGAATTAGTGTACAGAATTAAAAAATTAAGTCAGAGTTATGAGCTTTCACTAAACATTAAGAAAACAAAATGTATGATAATCTTTAAGAATGAACAGCAATTTGAAGGAATTAGTGTGAATAGTCAGCTAATAGAAAGAGTAAACACATATCTTGGTATGAACGTCAATGAATATTGGGACCATTCCCTAGAAATTAAATGTAGGATAGAGAAAGCCAGATCTATCTAAACTATTCGGTCATGATATACCATTACCCATAAAAAGTAGGTAACTACGATGTTTTATCTTCCCCTTATTGTTGTACGGAGATGAGTCGTGAAATCTCACAGATGCTACCTGCAATCAAATTCAGACTTTGGAACCACGTTACTAAGGAAGACGTTTTATTAAGAATACAAAAAAACAAGGGCTGTTAACCACAATAAGGATAGCCTAAATCGAATACCTCGCTTACATCATGAAGAACAGCGAAAAGTATGAATTACTGCAATTAATTTTACAGGAAAAAGTAGAAGGAAAATAAGAACCAGGAAAGCCAAGGATTTCCTGGCTGAAAAATCTGCGTAGGTACATGGTTCAGCATACCAACCACAAATCGATTCAGAACAGCAGCGTGCAAAGTAAAGATTCCCATGATGGTCGCTAACATCCGAAATGGATAGGTAATAAAAGAAGAAGATGAATCCCAAGAAACAGATCGCCAGTAGATTGGAGGCTTTATAGAAGTATGCTAAGGAGAAGCTGTTTCTTGGCTAACGCGTTTCCCAGCTGAACAATGTAGGAACGTGATTCAGCTTCAGTTCTAGAGAACTGCTCATAGCAGCGGAGTCACAAATTGCTATGATGATTGCCTACTTTCTGAGATCCGACGGCAAGAAGATAATATTTTTCATGCCTATCTATTGATACACGGTCTTTTGGAGACTCTTGCTATAGTAAATTGTAAAATTTTAAGTTATCAAAACTTTGCTATTAATAAATCTATTAAAAAAAAGATTATTATAGCTTTTTAAGCAACACTAAATCCAGCGGCGCACGCGTAACAATTTTTTTATTAAAAAATAGCTCATAAGAATTCTTTATTTTTCATTATTAAAAAGTTTGATATAGTTTGAATCAACATTTTAAATTATGTCCCAAAGTAAACGTTTCCAATCTTAATGGGTCACACTAAACAAATGTAATTTTTTATTTGTTTCACAAACAAAAATTGTACTCTAAAAACTAAACTAGTTTACAGAATTTACCAAAGTTTAAATACCATTAATACCATTCATACTTCAAAACAGTAGATTTAATACCCCATATTTTAAGTTTCGCTTAATCACGTTTTCTCCTCCCTGCGTACCGGGAAAGAACAACGTTACTACCGCCCTGATAGGAGTTTTTTGGCTATGTGCAGGAAATGATCGATTGGATGTCGTACCTCTCAGTAGTATCTACCCTCTTCTTCGTCAAATTTTTCGCGGTTGGACCCGGAAGTATACCTTGGATGATCACTGCCGAACTGTTCTCGCAAGGGCCTAGACCTGCCGCCATGTCAATTGCCGTGCTAGTTAACTGGACTTCAAATTTCGTGGTGGGTCTTGGATTTCCTTCATTGAGGGTAAGTACTTATTTTGCATTTTAAAAACCCATTTAAAAGTAGCCTATCTAAAGACAGACAATTGCTTTAGGATTATAATATTATTGTTAAAACATAACTACTGAACTCACGCGGTATTTTATTTCTAAATATAAGAGGAAATATAATAAATGTTTGTTTTTTGTGATTTAAGCCTGTAGTATTTAATTTAATTCTTTCTGGATGTATTGTCATCTTAGCTGATTATAGAACTATTGGATATAATTTTAAATAATCTTTATCTTCCAATCCCATTAATCACCTGCCATTAGGAGTATTTAGCTTATAATTTCTTGCCTAGGTTTAATTCCTTGAACCTTTTTTCTTGCGCTTAAATTTATTCGGTTTTACAATATTTAAGACCATTTATAGTTACTACGCTTCTATTCATTTGCCTTGTAACTTTTTGCCTTTCTCTTTGGGGTGGTATTTACTTCGAAATTTTCGAATTTCGATATTCCCAACACATAGGGGAGGATGGGGCATTGTGAACCATCTAAGGAAGATATGCACATACTGTTAAACCAGAAATGATTTTGTTTTGTTTAATTAATTAGGGATGTTCATTAAACATTTAACTGTCATTTAGTTGCAACTGAAACATAATTTATTTAACGTATTTTCAACAAAAAAATGACAACTGACTATATGTCAAAACCATATTAAAAAGAGTTCACTATTTATCCAGCCACTATCGCTACAGGCGAATATTGAACCTGGAGGTGCACCAGCTTGGAGTTCGACTTTCATTCTCTTTCTTGCAAAGATTAACATCGGCGCTTTGAAGATTCCTGATGATGACATGCAAATAACGGCTGTTGTTATTCCACTTCTATCAGCAGAAGTAAGCCGTCCAACTTGTTTCCGTCCTTTATGCGCCAAGATTTTACTATAACATTTGGGGACTGTACCTAGACCTGTTTCGTCACAGTTAAAAACACGCGTTGGATTGACATGTTTAGAATCCAAAGTAGCTTTATACAGATCAAAAAATTGTTTTACATTGTAACGATTAAAAGCTTCAGCTCTTGCAGCAGATGTTGATTCGGGTTTACGTAATGAAAGCCTTGGGTGCCGTTTTCGAAATCCGTACGCCCAATCTAAACCTGCAAGTTTGTTTGTTTTATTATATGGATGGTCTATGTTATTTTTTTCGGCTAACTGGAAAGCTAGGTGACGAAGATCAAGCAAAGTAATTCCGTATAAACGCTTCTCCATATCTAAGATATAATTATACAATTCTTTTTCCTGTTCCTTGTATTCCCTAAATCAAAGTATTATCTCAAGAAAATAAAATTACATCGGTGAAAACATCAGAAAACATTTTATATGATGTCTTAGAGGACACTTATAAATCTGAAAAAATTTAGAAAAGGAATTCTACTAACCATCGATCAAAATATTTTTTGTATTTTTAAGAGAGTAAATTCATATACAGAATAATAAAACACCTCCTTATTCGAAAGTATTGCATTGTAGAGCATTGGAGCTCTCTAAAACATCTAAGGATGTAGAAAGCGAGTTCTATTGACCACCACTCACATCACCATGATTTTTCTTAATTTGTTAACTAGTAGATTCTTGTGTCGAAGCAGTTGAAAAATTACTCATACTTTTACTTACTTTAGGAATTCGTTTAGGAAGTATGTGTTAAAATAGGGTAATTGTCATTTTGATCACCTTTTAAATGAAATACTCAGTACACACAAGGTATTTATAATTGCTTAGTTTAATTAGCTTATTGTGAAATAAACCAAATAAAAGATGTAAATGGAGTAGAAGTTAAAGATGACATCATAAATATAATCCACCGTTTCTACTCAGAATTATATAAAACAAAAAAGAAACCACTAGAAGAAATTAAAAACCAACTTAAGGTTAAAATAAAAAATGTCAACTCAGAGCTACAGCCAGAAATAAGCAAATCAGAAATAAAGAAGGCATTGAAAGAAATGAAAAAAAAAAACCAATGGTCTGGAAAAGATGGAATAACTGCAGAGATGCTGAAATATAGTGGAAAAGTGGTAATTAATACTCTACATCCCCTTTTTAATAGGATATTAAAAGAAAAAGAATCCCAAAAAACTGGAAGGAATCAGTAACCATTATCCTATACAAGAAAGGAGATAAAGCAGATATAAAAAACTTCCATCCTATAAGACTCCTCGATGTAATATATAAACTAACAAAAATTTTTACCAATAGATTGACGACAAAATTCGATGGATACCAGTCCATTGGAAACCAGAACAAGCTGGTTTTAGAAAGGGATTCAGCACAAGTGACCATTTACGTAGTATGAAAATACTTATAGAACGAGCAAATGAATACCACATTCCTCTATATATGGCGTTCATAGATTTCGAAAAGGTTTTCGACAGAGTCAAACATTGGGCAGTGAAAAGTTCTTTGATTAACAGCAGAATTGACCACATAAATTCGGAACTAATAGCCAATATATATATAAGGAAGCCAAAACAACAATTAAAGTATATAAAGGAACAAAATTAATACAAATAAATAAAGGCGTGAGACAGGGTGATCCAATATTACCGAAGCTTTTTAATCAGATTTTTTCAATCAGAAGATACTTTTAAAAGATTAGAATGGGAAGAATGGATATAAAATATTGCGAACAACGCTTGAACCATCTAAGGTACGCTGATGATATCGTATTGATTTCTGATAAAAAAGAAGAATTATTTGAAATGATGAAAGAACTAGACGTAGAAGCTGGAAAGATAGGCCTTAATATGAATTATAGCAAGACCAAAACCATAACAAATACAGATGAAGACATCACAATGAGAATCGGACAAGATGAAATAGAACAAGTTCAGGATTATATATATATATATATATATATATATATATATATATATATATATATATATATATATATATATATAACATAACATAACATAACAATATCTTTATTTTTAGAAAACAATATACATTCAGTGAACATAAAATTATTTAAAAAAAACAGTGTCACAAACGAAAATATTATTTACTTATTCCTAACCGTTACATATGCAAATAGTCCTCCACAGAATATGGCTCAAGAGCTACCAGTAATTTAAATATTTGATGTTTATACACACTTAATCTTTCCTCCCTTTTAATAGGTTCAGGCAGTTTATTAAACAATTTGATGCAGCAATAAAGAGCGTTTTTTTCTGTTATACTTAACCTGTGTATTGGAATTTTATAATTATATAACCTGGTATTTACTATACTATTGGGCTCAAAGTTCCTAAATAGTATTTTATTTTTATATAGAAACAGTAAGCATTCTTGAATAAATACAGCATAAACTGTTAAAATATTATTACTCCTAAAATGCCCTCTACATGATTCCCTACTTTTTAAGTCAAACATAACTCTGATTATTTTTTTCTGAACCAGAAATACATTATTTATGTCCCTACTGTGTCCAAAATTTATTAGACCATATCTAAATTTTGCTTCAAAATTAGCATGATACACTGTTTTTAATGAGTTACTATTCATGTATTTTTTTAGAACTCTAAAGCTGTAAATCACTTTACTCAAAGACATACATAACTGGTCAACATGTTTATCCCAACATAAAAAACTATCAATATATAATCCTAAAAATTTGGTACTGCTGCTAATATTTAAAGTGTCATTATTTACAATAATACTGTTTGGCATATCTGAATGTGCATAATTTGTCTTAAACAAAAGAAGATCTGTTTTATTTTGATTTAAAACCAACCTATTCATAGAAAACCAGTCTTTAGCTTTCTGGAACTCTAAACTAGCATTAACGCTTAGAACAGACATGTCTTTACCACTGACTAAAATGTTAGTATCATCTGCATAATTTGTTATGCTGGAAGTAGTATTAGCCACTAGACCATGAAGATCATTGATATAGATCACAAACAGTAAAGGACCAATCACACTTCCTTGTGGTACTCCAATATTGATAGTGCTTTCAGATGAGATGCCGATTTCAGTGTTTTTATGTATTTTTACTAAATGTCTCCTATTTGCCAAGTAGGACTTAAACCAGTTCAATGCTGGTCCACGTATACCATATTTCTCCAATTTATCAAATAATATGTCATGCACTAAACAGTCATATGCCTTTGATAGGTCCAAAAAGAGACCCAAAGCCATATGACCAATCTCAGTACATTTCAAAATATCCCAGACAAATTGAAAAATCGCAGTCTGAGTTGATTTTCCCTGTTGATAACCATGCTGATTTTCACTATGACATTTTGTTAAAAATTCTGTTATCCGCCTATACATAGTCATTTCTAAGATTTTTGAAAAGGAACATAGAAGGCTAATTGGTCTATAGTTATTAATTAATTTAGGATCACCCTTTTTGTAAACAGGTGTTACTATGGCAGTTTTCAGGCATTCAGGAAATACACCAGATTTTAGTGAATTATTAATGATTGTAGTGAGAGGATTCACTATCTCCTTTATACAAAGTTTAAGGATTTTAGTGGGTATTTCATCAATTCCACAACTCATTTTGTTTTTTAAATTTTTAGTTATATCCATAATTTCAGTTTCTGTCACAGGTGCGACAAACACTGAATTTATGTTATTTGCAATGTTGTCTTTATATTCAGTGTATTGTAATTGAGATAAAGTGTTATTTAAAGAAGTATTTAAGTGTATCATGTATTTATCAGCAATCTCTTGAGGACTACCCTCTACTTTTATTGAATTTACACTTTTTAATCGACCATTAATTTCACTAACAATTTGCCACATGCATTTATTTTTATTGGCAGCTTCAGATATCCTGTTTTCATATAGCTTTGATCGTTTTGTTATTAGTTTCTTATTATATTCTTTTTTTACCTGTCTATAGGAATCATAGAATTTATGGTTAACTCTGCTCATTGTAAACAAGATGTCTAAACGAGTCTTACATTCTATTATCTCTGGATCATCTCTTTTATTAAGGCCTTTTTTACGTTGCCTAGAATCTA